TGCTGAGAATAATGCTGACCTGGATGAGAGTGCTATAAACTGAAAATGCCATAGAAATCACGTTTGCCAATTTATGTCATGCAACTTTAGAATGACAACTAGTGAAGGCTATGTCATTCATGACTTGTTGTCTTTGAAAATATCAAATTTACTTTTTTCCCCACATTCTGTTATAAGAATATATAAAACATGCATTCAACTAGAAAAACAATTGTAGCAATGGTTTAAGAGGCAATACATTTTGAGTAAATATGAGATTTTTCACACATAAGTAAACATCGGTATTTGGGGTTAGTCTGGAGAGTTGATCTCGACTCCCAGCTGCTCTATGATGATGATTTTTGGCATAGGTATTCTCTGATACTGAAATCTGGCAAAGATAGTTTGTCTACTACCACTTTGACAATATAACTCTCCCCTTTGTGAACTCTGACATGGGGTATCATATTTCAAAACAACGTTCACACAACAATTGGGAAATTTAATTAAAACTATTTATAGTATCTCTAAGTACCGCGAACATCATTTCGGTGGCCTTATTTTGGTTTCTTCAAAAATAACACCTCTCTATTCGCACAGTGATCACATGATTACACCATTCCATTTTTTGTTGTTGGAATATTTATTTCATATAATTTGAAAAATAAGCTTTCTAAGATTATATAACTTGATGGGATTCAAAGAATATGTTACTTCAGAAATGTGCTATGCAATTGCAGTAGCAATAATCTCTACTACATCCTCAACAGAACTTCGTATTATAGGTATCATAAATTTTTGTTTTTGTTGGATGACCACATTTAGTAACTCAAACTTTAATTAAAAGTTAACCAAAAATTTGTTTCCCGCAAACTATGATTAAAGTTTCATTTACTAAATTTGAATATATTACAGGGTGAAGCGGTGAGAATGTCCAGAAATCTGTCATCAAATCTTTCCGAAGATGAGTCCAAGATGTACTTGATAGAATGCAGAGAGAACTTCCTGCTGACTGCAAGACATGCTTTCATGACAAACCATTTGAAGTCAATGTACATAA